ATATTTTGTTTTAATAGTCCATATAAGGAAAGCTTTAATGAGGCTAAACTAATAAATATCGTTAAATGTTCTGTAAAAGAAAATATTCTCAATGTAAAAAAAAAAACAAGATTAATGGAAATCCAGCTCAACAACAAATTTTAATTAAATACAATAAAGGTAGACTTATAAAATTTCAACAACAAATACTTTTACAATTTTTAACAAGCGTTGGCAACATTTTTATAAAAATTCTTAGCTCGTACGGTAATAAATTAAAACCTTTCCAACTGCGACGGACCACAAACTACCTTAAATACATTAACGCGAATGCAACAAATTTATTTTTTTTTAATTTTGTTGTTATTATAGCAAAGCAGAAACTGTCAATTGATGAAATAAAATGGTTTGTGGGTGCTGTTAACAATGCGTTTGTTGAATTATTATTGCTGGACTCAAAGGAACCAAAGGAAATTAACTGCATGTTTGGGCGCATAAATAATTAAAAAGCTCGCATTAGTGTTGCATGGGCCATGTTGCATGTTGCATGCTGTCAGGCAGGCAACGTTCAAATTTCAATAAGCACTCTAATTGTTTTTAAGTGTTTTTCACCAGGCAGCAAACAACGTAAATGAGTCGTAATTGCATAATTCTAATTTAGCGTCGAGTTCTAAGCACCAAAAACATGTTGACTACATTTAATGCATGCCACGTTGAGTGTTTGAGTTTTGAGTTGAGTTCTACACGTGTGTGCTGGTGTGTATGTGAGTATGGGTGTGGGTGTGTGTCTGGCTGTTTGGTGTGAATGGGTCGCTTGTTCAGTCATTTTGTCTAATAACATACTGCATTTGCAGTTGCTGCTGCGGCTGCTACTGCGCCTGCCTGGCTGTCAGCCCACCTGCCTGGCGGCTGTAATTGGGCAGGAGTTCTGTGTCGGTAGCGCCGCTAAAAACTTTACGAATTATGGCCTTGAAACCTGGCACAGGTGCCAGCAAATTCGTGTGCATTTTAACTTAAAAGATGTGGGAAAATATGGAACTGTTTGAAAGGAATTTAAGAGGACACGTATGTAGGGCATAAAGTGTATTTTAATTTTATTATTACTTCAACTAGAGAAACATTTAAAAATCGATTTGTATTCAAATCGGTTGTCTTAAATTTGTGTTTTGTCCATATTTGTCACGTACTTTTATTACAAATATAAACCAATTCAATTTACAAAATATACTAATATAAAAAATTATGTATGTTTTATAATAATATTGTTTTGTTTTATTGTTAATTGACTCCATAGTAGATAAAAACTAAATTCGTTTATAATATTAAAATTATAATTTCTTGTTTTCTTTTAATATTGATTAATATTTAATTTTGTGTTAATGAACGTTGGGCTTGTTAAACAGTTTGCATTCAACTTATATTATAATTCATATGCATATATTATTTCTCTCCTTTAAATTATTTACTTAACATATGTATCAATTTGACCAGTCCATTGTAAAATTAATACTGACATTCGAGCTGCTAAGTGAAAAGTTGACGCCTGTTGTTAACCCACTCAGACACAAATAAATTAACAATTTATTGTGCTTCGAGTGCTTGCTCTATATATAAGTGCATATATTCAACGAGTGTGTGCTGTGAGGGTGGACTTAAATCCTTATTGCGACACCTGCACAAAGCAAATACCAATTAAAAGCTTTTTGCATGCAGCGAACCTACCGACCAGTCAGCTACAAGAGTTGGCTCAGAGTGAGAGCAATCGAGACGGAGACAAAGGCAGCGACGGAAGTGGAGTCCAAGGCCAATGGGTGGTACAACCAGGCGCACATGCAATTAAGCTAACACAGGCCCAATACAAGTTCAGAATATGGCAGGAAAAGTGTCGCTTATATAAATGACATGGCAGGACAGCTCTACTCAGTTAGCAGGCGATTGGCATAGGAAACGATTGGGCGGATATGAAGCTGGAAAAACACAATCAGTCCTGGAGTGTATTAGGCTGGAGATTTGTGGCCTACTTGAAGGATTACTGTCAAAATTGTAGTCTGGCAGGCTTTGCCTATATTGCCAATCATAAGTAAGGGAAGGTAAGACGCGGATTTATGCACATAAACTTGATATTGTATTTGGCTACAGTTTGCATTTCACGGAGCGAATTTTTTGGCTACTGTGCATAATTGCATCGACCGTAGGTGTTTATAATCTGATCAGTCAATATCAGCGCGACTTCACCTCGCGTGCTGTCAGCATCGTCCCCGAGAGTCTATCGCCTTTTGCGATGCTCAAATTTCCATCGATCACTGTTTGCGAAATGCACTTTCGCACGGATTTTCCGCAAAATGTGGAAGACTATGTCCAGAGGTATGTGCAACAGTTCAATCATAGAAATATGCTATGTACAGGCTTGAGGTTTCTTACAGCTTGGGTACAGACTTGAATGGGCCCTACAACTATGATTTGGAGAATTATGTGTCCTTCATATTGTTTCCATATCTGTATTCCGTTAACATGGTTTCGCGCTGCGAACGATTCGAAAATTGTGAAGAATGCGCCAAGTGCCCCAAGAACGATTATCGACAGATTGCCACAAGGGTATATTGAGAAAAGGTGTACTATGTCTTAGGAGGTCTTTTTTTAAACTTGTATTGTTTTATTTCTCAGTTTGGTTTTAATTGCTCGGATCTGTTTATCAGTTGCAAATTGTCGGATAACACCTTTGACTGCTGCAACTTCTTTCTGCCGATGATCACACCGTTCGGGCGCTGTTTTCTGCTCAACTCGCTGCAGAACAACGAGCCCGAATCGAAGCATTGGCTGCCGGCCATTTTGGATCGGGGTAGCCGACCGGAAATAAAACTGCATCTGACACGCGGCGCTAAGATTAGCGTACTCAATGAGGAGGATGTCACGACCGCGCAGCTGCCAACGGTGGATGTCAGTGTGCTGGAGGGACAGCATAAGACACTGCAGTTTCACAAGGAGGCCATGGTGAATGATCCTAATATGAAGGATATTCCAGTGGCCGCCCGTGATTGCTACTTTCCCGATGAGGTTATGCCCTGGAGCATGTACAAGGCGTACAGTTTTAGTGCCTGCATCAGCGACTGCGCCAGACTGTATCAATATGAGCTGTGCAACTGCTCTACCTACAATTTCACACCATTCAAGGATGAACGCTATCCCGACTGTGACTTGAAGGGGTACTTGTGTCTGGAGAAGGTTAGCATGGTCAAGGAGGATGTCAAAAGACTGTTTCGCATTAGTTCACCGAAACTGCATTGCCATTGCCTGCCCTCCTGCACGGAGGGCGACTTGAAAGCCATCTATGAAGATCTAACCAGGTAAATTGTGAATCCCTAGCTCTGAGGGCATCTCTTTAACGTCTTCCAATCTCTGGCAGCACAATTGCCAATGTCAGGGATACCAATGTAACAATTATGATGCCAGTGTGGCCCACGGATCAATATCGCCGTCAGGTGCTTCGCACCAAACTGGATGTCGTTGTCTCCATTGGTGGCATACTGGGCCTCTTTCTTGGCGCCAGCATCCTGAGCGCCATCGAGTTTGTCTACTACTTTACAATGCGTGCTGCCAAAAGTGCGCTGATGGCACGCAAGAAATTGGTTAAGACAAATGCTTAATTGGCCGTCTGCCAAGCAGATGCAGAAGCATTATAATCGTTGTAGACGCCTTTAAAATTGATTTACTATTTAAAGGAATATTTTTTTGCGGAAAGTGAGCTTTTTTTAGAATCAGTGTTTTATCATATATATATATATATATATAAAATAGCCTGAACGGTGACTAACGCACTGCCCAAGCCGTAAGAGCTTCAAAGCTGAAAATTGGATTGAAGCTTCCTCTTCACACGCAAGTGAGGGAAATGGTGGTCTAAGATTTTGTGACAAACATCATAAGCAACCCACTGTGTGAATTTGGTGTCTGAGCTGTCTAGTATGCGAGAGGTCACCGGTTCAACACCGGTAGCTGTTGGTAATATTTATATTTAAATATTTAATATGTTATTCTTAATAAAACAAAACAAAAATCACAATTAATTAAAAAACAACAAATTAAACGGCAAGGGAATAGGAGTTCACAATAATTTATTTTTTATTTTTTGGCAAGACCGAATCAGTCTACTGATTGGCTTAGTTGGCTAAGCCTCGCCACATTGAAAGCGAGACTGAGTTTTCAAGTACCTGAGAAAACAGAAGACGGAAATTGTAGATCTCGTTAACAAAAAATAAATGAATAGATGGGCGATGAATATTTTACTGGCTTAACCAAAATGTAGACAAACTCGCGACGGGAAATGCCTCTTCTGTATGAGTCACGGAAGCAACTGTCGAATGGTATCCTACGCGATTGTTTTGAATAAGGCCATTTTAGTTAATTAAAGCAATATAAGTTACAATGAAACTGATCAACCAAAAAAAAAAAATGGTTGTACCGACTAAATATATTAAGATAGCTACTTCTGATTTTAATTATTTTGTCGCACCTATTAGTTTTCTTATTAAAAACTTCTGGACTTAGGGTACAAACAGTTTACGACCGTTATTTAATCGAATCTTTCGTCCCTAGTCCATTCGCATACAGTGTATGTGTATTACATTTTTATACCCTGAACCCATTAAAAATGGGTACAAAGGGTATAATGTATTTGTGCAAATGTAAGTAACAGGCAGAAGGAAGCATATCCGACCCCGTAAAGTATATATATTCTTGATCAGCATCAATAGCCGAGTCGATCTAGCCATGTCCGTCTGTCAGTCCCTCCGTCCGTCTGTCTGTCCGTCAGTCCGTATGTATGAACGCAAGGAACTCAGAACCTATAAGAGCTATGACATGAAATTTTAGCTTTAGGTCCTCCTAGAGCCCGCGCAGATCGAGTTTGTTTCCGATATTCGATAAATTGCCCCGTTTCCAAGTAATCGATAAAAATCGATATCGAAATCCTGTTTTTGAGCAATTTTGGTAAATAATAAGAGCTAGGGTCACCAAACTTGACATGTAGCTTCTATAATAGTATATATACAAAAAACACAGAAGTTTTTTAAGAAAACGTGTTGTGGCTTTCCTCGTATGTATACATGTACACACACACATTTATGCGCGTCTTCTTTGAATTGTATCAACAGCATTGCAATTGCGATTGTATTGTTTTCTGTGCTGCTATTTCAATTCGTTTTTTCTCATTGAGACTCAATTATTGTTGTGGCTGTTGAGAAGAGGCGGCAGCAAGCGGTGCGGTCTGTAGCGAGTTCGAACCCTTAAGGAGGGGACTATTTTGTTTGCTGGTGTGGCTGTTGAGTAGAGGCAGCAGCAATTAATGCGGTCAGATGAGAGTTCGAACATCTTCTTTGCTTTTTTTAAATTTATCTTTATTACTACCAAAGCAAACGAGCGCGTAGCGCGAGCTGCATTTGGTGTTGGAATAAGAGGGTTCAGGGTATCCCCTCGTCGGGAGCTCTCGACTAGAACCTCTTACTTGTTTTTTTTATTAAATAGTTGGTTGACCCGGCGGACTGCAATGCATATTAAAAATTCAGCCGTGGAATGCTGTCGTGCCAAGGATACGGAGAAGGATGCCAAAGCCCGAGTGTGTGACGAAAATCAATGAAACTTGCAATTTGCACAGTCAGCGGTCAGTGGCCAACGCCTGCAGTGACTTCATCTCGCATTTTTCCAGGTCCTTTTGCTCTGTTGCTGACGCTCGGGGCTTGCCTTGTTGCAGGCTTAATAAGAATTTCATTTGCTGTATTTTAAATATTTAAAATTCCTTAACAATGCGAAAGGGACCGGCACAAAAAAGCTGAGCACATTAATTTTGTTGCCTTGTGTCCTTTTTGTGTGACTAAAAACAATGCTTAATTAATAACGCGCTACGTCCAGTGAAAGTGCCACGAAATGGGCCTTTTCTTTCGGCCTGATTGTCTCAAACACTTAAGAGTATTTCCAAAATTACACCTAATTGCCAAAGGGCTTAAATATTAAAAGCATATATATGTGCTTGGTAAAATGTAAGATTTTTATTATAAAACCTTTTTAAATTATTTAAAGATTATTTGGCTTGCTAGTTTAATTTAATTTATTTAGGTCTTTTGTCATTCCCTTGGAAACGGTTGCTCAGTCGTTTAACAATTTAATTAATTATATTAGATAGCATTTCCTTACATATTTTAATCAGGTATCTTGTAAAGACAAATATGTAGCAAGTCTAAGGGAATCAGCTGAGTGTTATTTTCATTTTGATAAAATATAGACGTTTTATATTGGAAAGCCCTTTGTGAATCTCTTAAATTATGTATATTTATTTTTTTAGTTCGGCTTACTCCTGAAACATGTAAATAAAATTTGTGTTTTACAAATTTTGAATTTTTGTTAAAAAACATTTTTTTTTTATCAAGGTCGAGGTTCTAGCCTTAGATTAAAGTATCACAATAATGCTAATTAAAATTAATATGAGTTCAGATAGATATTTATTTTTTCAGTTCCTTCAGTATGGAGATAGTTCCTTTTCAAGCTTCACTTAAAGGTACTGGCATGAGCATCATGTTCAACCATAAATAGGCTCAGCCACAGAGTCATAAATAATAATCTTGCCTTTATATACAATATTTGTTATATTTTTTTTATTTCACATATTTTTCTGCCCTTCGCTCTCTGTAAAGCCATTCCATTTTATTTTATTCAGCGCTTGGCTGCATCGTCTGGGCTTTCCCTTTTCACTTGGCCTTTTGCCTTTGCGCATTCATAGTCTTATTCATATTCATTGTGCATTTGTGTTTCGAGGTGTTGGCATATTTATGTCGGAAATCCTTTTTATTCACTCAAATGTTTGTCCACAAAGCTGGGTAGGCAGAAAAAAAAATGGAAGCCGCAGTGAAAGTGTAGCAGAAAAAGCTGTGCCCAGCAACAAAGTGTAGTCCGGCAAGTTTTTGGGGACACGCTGTCAACTTTACAGTTGTTGTAGCTGCTGTTCTTATTTTGGTTCTTGTTGCTGTCGCAGTTGCTGTTGTTGTACTTGTCGCGCGTATCATTTATCAAGCTCAGCAAAAAAGGGAACATTTTTGTCATGTTAAACTGTCAGAGTGCGCATTTAGTCATTACTTACATTTTGCTAGCCCCGCTGCGCGCGCTCTGTTACCCTCTCTTCCCCTTTGTCATTCTTTTTCTGCTTGTCATACACATGCAAATGCAGCAGACACGCACGCATATACACACCTACGCACGACACACACTTGCAAAATGTAATTAAAAGTTGCCATGCAAATCTGCGGTTGAGTTTTCATTTTCATTTTCATGTTCATTTCCGCTTCCGTTTCTGTGGCCCGTTTCGCTTTCGCTGGGCCATTAGCATAACGCTCGAAAGTATGCAACACTTTAATGAAACGCCCCATTTGCCATTTATCAAACTCGGACGGACATCGCAAATGTTAATTATTATGTTTTATTGCTCCAGACGGCGAAAGATTTGAATTTCTGTTCGCCGTGATTTCGTCGACACTAAAATATGAGCTCAGCATGTGGCCAAGAGTTTGCCGCAAACTTATGACCAATTTATTGCTATCAAACCATAATTAAATTTACAAGAATTGAAATGGAGCTAAAGCAGCTATTTATTGGATATACCATTCTAAACAAACAATTTCTTAAATTAAGATTGATTTCAGGCAGCCAGACTTTAATTACAATTTGGAAAAGAAAATTGCATATAAAATTAAGTTTGGACACTTGCAGCGTCTTAAATCGCATTTCAATTCCAATTGGCAACTGAGAGAGTAAGCAATTGCAATTGCCGAAGAGGTGCTTGAGGAAAGGGATTGGCAATGGCAATGGCAACGGGAAACGAAAACTATTTTTCAATTACCTTTTTCGCACGCACGTTTGCTTAGCATTTTACCTTTGTGCGAGACTTTCCGTTGCCACCCAATGCTAACCCAGCAACAGGCGCCTTTCTACACGCTTCTCACGAGAAACGCTTAGCAGGAGAACAAGAGGTAGGAAATTGGGCTTATCGATACACAATTGAATTCCAGCTCCAGTTGAAGAATTTAATCTTTGATTACGAGCTTCAATTTGAGTTATTATGAACTGAAGGCTATAACGTATTTTGCAGTGTGTAGCTTTATTAAAAATAATAAAAAAAATAATATATATTTAAATAAAATTAATTTAATGCCTAACACTAAAAATGTACGCCACAAATTTGATTAACTTGCATGCAGCAACTGGCAAATTGTGTGTTCCAATTGATTGCACATGATTTACATTCAGCAAGACAATTAGATTGTAAGGGAATCTATACTTCGCCTTTAAAGGCAAGTGGAAGACATCAGTTTTTTTTCTTCAACTTTTCCGGATTCCTCTCATTTCAATGCATGACTGTTGCAATACCTTCACATACCCTTGGCCTGTGTGTGTTTGTGTGTACTAAGTGTATGTAGTTAGCAGTTTTTCAATCAACGTGCCACACTCACACTCGCACACACCCATACGCACACTCAGTAGGAAGATGAGCAGCTTCAGTTTGCGTTAACAATTGCCTTTTGCTGCACTTTTAAATTTCCTCTAAGCGGAAATCTATTTAAATTGAATTCTATTCTTCGGCTGGCAATTCATGCTGCAGATATGCATTCTTGTCTGGATCAGACGATGCTGCTGCTTCTTCTTCTTCTGCTGCCGCTGCTGCAGTGTGAAATTTTGCACAGCGCACTTTACACATTGGGAATTATATTAAATCCTTGGCTGATATTTCCATTTCAATGGATAATCATTATGAGTGTATTTGCAGACGGCACTAGCTGATGCCATTGTTGTAGTGGTTGTTGTTGTTGTAGTTGTTGTTGTTATATCAGCAGCCATTTTGTTGCAGACCGTACAAGCAAACGCACAGACACATACACACACCATCTCTCACACATATTTATGCATATTATGCATTTTTTATACATTT